TTCATGAACACGATCCCGTGGTGGGACGCAAAGAGTTGCTAATCGCCAGAGGGGTGACAGTGATAGGTGCAGTCTTGGTTCATCCTACCTCTAGGCGCCACACACCCATCGGGTGACATGTTTTGCTGGAAGGGTGATCGGCTACAATTTTCCACTACCTTGTTCCTTCCTAAATAGGGGTACATCCAGACGCTATTGAGGCAGAAAAGGGGAGGGGTACTATTAGAAAGTTTTAAAGTAACGAAGTGATGTTGCTCTGTGTCTAGTTCTCTAGAATCCATCCCTTATCACTTTCCCTCATTTTCAATGATACCAACACTTTATGTCTTCCATTTCATTACCTATTATGTATCATGATTGGGAGGGTGTTCAACCACCCACCCCTAATCTTCGCGCAATAATGATCATAGCACGTAGGTCCACTTCACGTTGGGACCCGGTGACAAGTGGCAGGCCGTAACCAGATACAGAGCATCGAACTGTAGCGGCAAGCTAAGGTTGCGAGGCAGTCCAAGTTTTAATTCAGGGGATGTGTGTCGGAGAGGGAAAGAGACAGAAATGCTCCACCTCTATCTAATGACGCCAATTTTGAAACATTGAGCGCTGTATTATCCTACGACGATCAATGTTAGCTCTCTCGTGTTTCGTCCTAGGGAATTGATTATCACCTCGGATTTAATTCACTGCTTTATTTTCACGTAACAAGAAGTTTGTTTTTACATGGGGTGCCTTCAAACTCCGCCACCGCATTTAACCCCCCCCCCCAACAAACACCCACACACACGCACACACACCATATGTTTAATAGACATCCGTCTCTATTTCATCCATTGTCATCTCTCTTTCTTTCTTTCTTAGTAGAGGCGTCATGGTCTTGTGGATACGTCATCGGAATGTGGATCACATTGCTCGCGGTTCGAGCCCCGCCGCTGCATTAGTGTCTTTTGGCAAGACATTAATATAGCTTTGCCACTCTCCACCCAGGTGTAAAATGGATACAGGTAGGAAGGAATTCCTTGAACTGTGAGCAACGAGCACGGTAGCCTAGCAGAATCGGGGTAATATTGGAGCGCCTTAAGCACCTTGCGTTGTGCTCAATGTCGCTAAAAAAAAAGGTCAAATATTGTTATTACTCCATTAAAATTATTTTTTCATCCTTTCTTTCTATCTCCCGACCTCTTTTACTCTCTCTCTCTAAATCAACTCTCTCTATCTCTCAATATTCACCACTTTCTATTTTTCTCTCAATTTTCCCTTCTCTCTCTCTCTCTCCTTTTTGTCTTTCTTTCTTTTTCTCGCTCTCTCTTTCCATCTACCCCTCTTTTTGTATATCATATGTTAAGCATTATCACAATCAAGCCCTCTGGCTGCGAAGATATGTTTTGATAAATCTTTAACCTCACTTTCTACCGGATGTAAATATTCATATCTGACAGACAGCAACATTATGACGACTCCTATCAAGGAAAGGTTCGAGTATTATTAATTTGAAGGTTCTAAATTTCTTTGTAGGTTTTAGGATAGTTTTATCAAAATTCTTAAACATCTGCTTTGAAATGAAAAAGACTCGGTTTTAGCAAGTTGAGTAAAATATAGAACTGTGTGATTCAATAGCTAATTCACACCACAATATTCATGGCAATATATGTACCATAAGTATGAAAAAAAAGTTATGCATTTAGTACCCTTTCTGTAATTTTCTAACATGTTTGTTATACTTTGTTATGCACCTTGAGTATTATTTCCTGGGATGAATATTAGTACAAGAAATGTTGCTATTATAATAAATCTATAATAACTTTCTTACAACATCCTTTATCATCCGGTATGCATTATACTATAACACAGAACGGGTGGTATGGATATAACACGACAAAAAGTTAAATAAATCATTATTCTTCACCCAATAAAGATTTTTCTATTGAAGGCGCTTGCCTCAGGAACATTACTGTGAAAATCATGAAAACTGTATTAATTGAGTGTAATAGGTCATCGGAAGGATGAGAATTGCCTAGAGCAAAACCGAGATATTCGTCACAGGGGAAAGGAAAATAATGCTGTTGTTGATTTAAGAAATTAGATTTGAAGAAGGAAAAGCTACGGGTCCTATGACGAAAATAGGCAGAAAACGGGGAACTGAAAGTAGATATCATATTTGGGCTTTTTCTTTTTAAACTATATCCATTCAAAACAATTCTCCGTTGCTGAAAAATGCGAGATTTATTATCGGAGCCAAATGTTGAGCAGGTGCAACATTCTATTCTTGTGCAGCACAAATTAATACTTTGATGTGAGTGACAATAAATTCATTAGTTTTATAAACAGAACACGTAATAGGGTACAACGCAGAGTGGCATTCGTTCAGTAACGCTTTCAGCGATAGTACAGAATATCCTGTTAAATTCTTTGAACGTTGTGAGCGCCGAAAACGTTGTGCAACAATAAGATCAAGGTAAAAACTTGTCTTAAAAGAATCTTCACGGCATAGTTTTAAGTTCCTTACTAATTACTTTATTCCCGCTCCACATTCATAAGGAAATGCGAACAAGATAAACAGGCAATTCAAGGATTGTCGGTAATAATTCCAACAACAAATAAAATGCTTGCTTGGCGTCACTCCTTTTGGCGGACAACAAATAGTACAAATATTCAGCATGTTGGATGCTCGTACGTCCGACTGCGATGTAAAACGATACAGCTTCTGACACATTTTGCCCGTTCATGTATTTCGCATTTCGCTTTCAAATTCCTTATCCCTACAAGACTTTGTGATCGGGGAATTGTGAAAAACATAAATCTACAGATTTACCGACGGGGGTGTAGCAAAGTGCCTTCGGATGACGATTCCTCGAAAAAAAAATCACACTTTGTAGAGAGGTGTTGGAATGAGATCTTCTAACGACAAATATACCCAAGCTATGATTTCACTCAGTCTACTCTCGATTTGTTCTTCGCAGTGGCACTTTGGTTTTTTACATTTTCTTAGAATAGTTGGAGCTTTCGCACGCATGGTTCCTCCAAAATTGAATGATCAAATGAAAGTCAGCCAAATCGTCAGGAGATAAAGGAATGTCTTCGTATGTAGTTCGATCAATCCTGTAAAAATCTGTTTGTTGGCTTTTCAGTTTCTCTCTATGATTTTCTTTCTGTACATTGCGGCATATTGTCGCTGTGCAACGTAAAGACACCACGACAACTAAAGCTTGCGTCTATGGAAATGTTTAAAGGTGGCAATACATACTCGGGGCGCATAATTGTATCTTATAATGCCACAGCCCTAAAGTCCCAGAGTTCTCTACTAGAGTTAAACAATTGGGGTTGGGGTAACACGATTTAGGCCAATGTCGTGTCGCAACGGGATATCATCGTCGGTGATACCATCTGCTGTGTGTTTCGGCATGTATTGTCTTTTACGAAATTGTACACAATAGTCTCTGATTATGGGCAATATACAATTTACGTTGATCTTTGTTTTAAGGAAAAAAAACATTTAGCTCCCGTTCCTTTAAACTTTTTCAACATTCCTTAGTAGTGTCAAAATATTGTGAACTCCTGTGACACTAAATTGTTCCTGACCTTATCTCGGAGTTGAAGTGGATTTCGCAAAGGGAGCCAAGAGACTTCTTCATTGAAAATAATTCTGACCAGCTATGGTATTACCGAATTAACTTCTGCTGAAACAGTTATGGATATTACTGTAAATAACAGATTGTCAAAGGTTTTACCCCTGGCTGTTGCCTTTTAGTATCCTCATTGGAACACTTCCATACTAAACGCGATTAAATCCAACTCGTGTGTCAGTGAAACTAGGAGCTACTGCCAAAATGCTCTCATTGTTATTAACCAGTCATCTTAGATTCTCCGCAGCCATTTATCCCCCGGTGGCTTTCAATCCATCAACCGTCCATTTCTTGTTGTATTAGTAAGTTTATATACATTTTGCACGGTTAACCTGCCGTGAAGTTGAAGTATCCGTGGTGCGGAATACGCGGTGTCGCCTTCCAGAAAAGAGTGGTACTTGGCGATGCGACGAGACAGTTTGATTTATGTCGTGTCATGTGAAGTCATGCTTCCATTTCACGCACTTAAACACTCCAACGCCTTAGTAAGGTTCTGTGTCAAGATCTATCCTGGTCATGACTTACTGTGTACCAATTTCTCTCGTGCACAATGAATGAAGTGTTCCTATTTGGAACGTGCTAATCCTACTGATGAAAGTACAGATCATTCTTAAAGGCATATAGGGAGTCTCTGTGCGCAGGAGGTCATAATTCGCTGACACCGGACTTTGTGGAAATGCTATGTTTGGGTGCACAAGTCTCACAAGGTACCAGCACCAAATACCCCACTCATCTCGGAGAGTCTTCGGACAGGCTTCGGTTAAGGGAAATGTAAAATAATGAATTGTGGAAAGTGCAGAGCATTTACGTAAAAGTGAAAGCCATTCCCGGTGATTGACAACATCTGTATTGGGTTAACAACCGAGTGGTGTAAAATTCTCCATTAAGAGCCCACTACGAAGCGTCTTTAACATCCTTTTTTTGTTGACAACATTATACTTTACCGTTTGGCCTTTGATTAACCCGTTTTAAATGTTGTCGTTTCTTTCGTGATTTTCGCCGTCCTAAAGAAAAGTTTGCTTTCATTGACATTTTAGTATAATAGCCTAAACTTACAAATTCTTCATGAACTTAGATTAAAAAAAAGACATAAATTGCACTTGCCACACCCATCTCTTCAAGACCCAAGTCAAATCTCTATGTTGCCCTTTACCTAAAAATCCTCTGTACTGGCAACAGTCTAATGCCTATGTATTTGTTAATAAAATAAAATTAAGAACTTATCCAAGAAGAACATTTTGGAAGTCGATTTCATTGTTGATATATAAATAATCCAATGATATGATCGACCTGCAACATTAAAGTTATCTTAATAGTTTTTATTGTTCTTGCGTTAACGGGAAAGAACATGTATATCGTAACATTTGGTTTACTTAATACCTTTTTTCTGCTTGCATCCTCCTTCCTGACCGAATTCTTGAGCATCTTTTCGTCTTCTGTCAGACTCATGAGTCGCTTTGCTATGGAGCCGCAGGTGAACCCCAGTAAGATCACCGGCACCAAGAACAACACCCCAAAGAGGAACACGTTGTATGCCATGGAGAAAGCAGGGCCGCCGATATCTATGAACCGATCGGTACAAATCCGGCGACGGATGACCCCCATCTCGCTCTGGAAGTAGTAGTGGAGGACGTGGTAGGGGTAGAAGTAGGGGGCAAGGATGACAAAAGGGGTTAGCCAGATGATGACAATGGTCCGGAGCGCTCGGGAACGGGTGTTGAAGGAGCGTGCTCTTAGAGGATGGATAATCACCAGGTATCTGAAAGATGAAGAATAATAGCGAAACGCATAGGAGAAAAGGAGGAGGAAAAGAAGAAATGGAAGAGAGAGAGAGAGAGAGAGAGAGGTAAAAAATTAATATGGTAGAAAATGTATAATTTTGCACACAATCATATGACGATTGCTTCTTTGCATGTTCTTAGCATGATATTCGAAAATGTCTGGCATAGTATACAAAAAGATGTAAAAATTGAAATTGTTGACGATGTAAGATTGCTGCCTTCCAAGTTCATGCGAATCGAACAGGAATCTATGTAATTAAGGGACAAAAACTGTTTCAATACCGAAAGGGCGGAGTGCCTTTTCAAAATGGGGGCACCAAGAAAAAATTCCAGCACGTTTATTAGAAAGGGCGATTTAAAGGGGTGAACGGAATGATAGAAAAGGCCCTACATTGAGACAGTATATACCCGTTCATATTCATCAATGCATTACAGTATATATTGCTTTCATAATAATTGTATATATCTTTACGCAGTTATATATATTGCTCCGTATTCAAAGTTTTTGATTGCATGAAATGATTCCAAAAATCCATTTGCAAGCGTGCAAAGTGAGTGACCAGTTTTTTATTTGGTTCCGATGCATGACGTTATTTAATCCTAGTGTATATGGTATATGGCGACCGAGCGATTTTTGTCTCTCTCCATATTCATACCAGGAACACAATCCGTTGATAACAGCAAACGTAAACGTTCTTACTCTTTAAATCAAAGGCATAGATAATGAGCTAGCGGAGAAAAGGGAAAGAGCTCTTGCTTCACGGGGGGGGGGGGGATAAAATGTCTCGTCATAGCACTTAACGTGCATCTTTTTTAACCTGGTTGCCTATTGGTAATATGTTGTTTGTTTAAGTCTGAAAATGGTCAAAAGAGTGGTATTCTTAAATGAGAAGATAGGTCAAACTTTAAAAGGGCTCTTATTAGATATTAATAAGTCATGTCACAATGTAGACAGGGGTTGCCCAGTAGTTTCGCGGGGAATATATTAGTAGTCTGATATAGCATTTTGTAAAGACATTTCTGTGGCCTTGGTAAGTGATGGATGTTTACAGATACGAATTAAAGCTATTGATTGTTTAAGTTAGTAGGCAATTGTAATAGATATCATGAGTTCGATTGTGATAGGAGTAGTCAAAAGAGACATGTTAAGGTATGGAATGGGACACTTTTCGATACTGTGTCTGTCAGATCGTACTGAAATGTGATGCTTTTGAAATAAGACTCTTCCTATCTTAGACATGCAGTACAAGGGCAGTTGGGGTGCAGGGTAAGTATGCTTAGGCCCGATGATGTCCCGTTTAGAGGGTTAGCAGAGAATAGGACATTGGTTGCTGTCCAAAGGGGTATGACCGAGTTGTGAAAAAGGGCTCTGTTCATGCTTGGAAAAAACGGGGCACTTCCCTCCTTTGCCTCTTCCCCGAGACGTGTCGCCCCCGTTCATTTTACCCCAAGATGCAACGTGAATTCCCGGTTCGTGTGTGTGTGTGTGCGTGTTAATGCATTTTCCATTCCCTCCAGTCTGCAAGTTGACTAGAATGAGTGTCTTCCTGTGGTTGTGGCAAATAACTCATTAGCCTCATGATGTCAAAAGTGGGGCCACTAGAGATTATACCAAACATCGGAAATAAAATGAGATAGTTTATTACAATTTTCGAGTGGTTTATGGGAAAATAGAGAGCATTACGCAAAAAATGAGAATAAAGGCAAACATTCTGATAAACACGATATACTGATAGACAAAAAAAAAAATCGATTCACTGTTCTATAGTTCAACCAAACAAAATATTTGATTTTGTTAGTAAACAAAAATAATATGCTCGTATGAGTATGAAATATTGGTGCTGTAAACCTTTATTCTATATACACTAATGTCTTATGCGCTCAATATCATGCAACCAACAAATAAAATGGTGATTAACACAAAATGACCTTTAAGAAAAGAGAGAATCCAATCGTCAACATCAATTTCGTTTTATTCTGTGTTTTTTCACATCGCATTTTTAGTTAATACGTGTAATATTCATATATTTCTTTATTAGATGTTGTAATTTGCTTAATGTATGATAATAAAAAATGGTACATATTTAAGAATCAGTATGGTCGGAAGCAAAAGAAGAGTTGACAATCCCTAATTCATTTGTGCGGTTGTAAAAGCCCACAAAGAAGTGCACTTTGAATGCTGCCAACTATATCTGTCCATCGTTACGCTTTTTGTGGTGTCGGATTTAGTCGAGCTTTCTTGAAAGATCGATTGCTTGCTGAAACATTAATGTATGATGAAATTATATTCCTCTGTGAGAGGATGATTATCTCTAAAATTCACTTTCATCATAAGATTTTGCTTTTTGTTCGTAGTATATGATACACGTTATATTATATTTTCTTCTATGATGCTGATATTGACAGCTGTGTCTGTCAGGGTTTTTAAGCATTCACCAGTGTGAACTGTAATATCATGAAAAGCTCATGGTCAAGTTCCGGAAGGACTCACTTCATAACTCTGCCAGACTTTGTCAAACAAGACAGTATCCTCGGTTATTACATCCTTGTCTTCTTTCTCGCGTTGAGATTTGTGTGATTAGTTCGTATTAATCAATTTTTTAAAAGGGAGGCTTCTTGTCACCAGCCTACGGGGACAGACCAGTAGCATCATCACAATATTGCACAACGCTCAATACCCCTCTCGGTTTCACTCCATTGACAACTGGTGGCTATTCGGATATCGGCATTGCGGCGAACTCCCTAAGGAACACGGGAGCTCATGCCCGAAAGGCCTGTCCGGACTCGGGCACGGGCAGCGGCGCCGTAATCCACCAAACTTGTTTCTGTAGCAGCCTACCCCCATCACTGGCGCTCTTTGTATAATTACACAGACAGGCGAAAGATACATCGGTGCGAAAACGTTTGTTAGATGGTAGTAGACGTTAAAATGATTCACCAAAAGCACAGACCGGTCGTCTTATCTGATTGATTAGTCTGCTGGGGTATCCTTTTTTACATGCAGCTATGGCTCAAGTTGAATGTCTCCTAAATTGCGATGCTAAACCCAAGTTCAAGGGTAATATGAGTACTGTAAAAACGTGGATGGTGTTAACCAGCACGCGTCTCAGTGTTCCCATCTTCTCCTCCATAAGCTCATACGATACACTCACACCATCTCCAACAACATTTGCCTCATTAATTCAAATGTCGCGGGGAATGTTGAAAACAGTGACTCTTTTGATTTATAGCTTGGCGCCGATTTAAAAATTCATTCTGAATTAGATTTCTTATTTATATCTGAACTGCCTGATTTATCGTCTTATCCTGTTCGTTTTCGTCTAGCTTGTTAATCAAACGAAGGAGAAGAATCGATGTTTACATAGAGCAGGTGCTGTCCGCTTTTGATCCCTCGTGTAGTGTTATGAAATGTCATAAATGTACTTAAATCTGACTGGTAAAAGCAAACACAGTTGTTTCAAAGAGCCCTAAAATAATTTCTTCATACTTCTTTCCGTTTTGTTATTGAAATAAACTCTCCTTATCATCCTACCCGTCAAGTAATTTCTACCCCCTTTTTCACTAATTGATAGTGATAGTATTACATTATTAGTGAGAAAGCATCCGTCTGTCAAGTTTACATTAATTGGAATTCAAGCAATGTACATTAAAGAAACAGCATACAAAAAATACAAAGTCGAATAAAATAAACATTCACCTATAAAATGAATAGCATTATCAAAAGTGACATTTATCACGTCTGTGGGCAGAGAGAAAGAAACGTCAGAGTTCGTTTTTTTTAAGTTGAGCAACATTTCACAATATTGACGCTAGCTCCAGATTCAATTTGGGACGTGTGTAATTAAGTAAGAGATAATGCAAGATATCCGGATCAATGGTAATAAAGAGAAAGTATTCTAACACAACAAAATAGAATAGAAGATGCACCACATAAAATGTTTTTGAAAGATCTTGAAATTTTACATTTCAAAACATCTAACATGATTTTTAAACAAACAAAAATATGGCTAATTTTTAAATAAGCCTCAGTCCTTATTCTGGGGGAAACTGTATAAAAACAGCAAGACCAACATAGATAGAGATGTATTATTCAGCAACTTGAGAAAAATCGACATTCAAGCTGTATTTGTATGCCTACTAGTATAATTCTCGTCTCCACCCCAACCCCCTCCTCTACCGGCCCTCAAACTGACAAATTGCATCCTTCTCAACGCTACACGCGGGTCTCGGTGTATCTATACTTCGCTCAGGTTTCAAAAACGAGTTCCCAGAAGGGCAGATTTGAGCACGATAATAATCTAGGAAATGGTGTAGCCCCTCGTTCCCGACCCGCTTGACAATCAAGTCCCCTGATCATCGCCTCCAAAGTTACGCTTCAAATTCTAGGCGCTGCCGCTTACACGAGTCACTTTTCATCAACGGTTGCCTCCTACCTCCTTCTTTCTTCAGCTTTCTCAATCTTCAGCAGCAATTGCTCTTCTCTTGCCTAAGTAACATTTGCCTAGGGGGCTGTGTCTTTATAACGAAGGGGTCGCAGGCGTTCCCAGTTATGGCAGTTCGATGACCAGAAGGGAGATGAAAGAATTCCAGAATTAAGGGTATTCGAATATCTGTCGCATCATATTTCCATCCTTTCATTCTGTTCAAGAGAAATAGGGCTTAGGATCATTACTGGATGATGGAAACTCTACACTTTCTTCAGATTACAAACTGATAAAGCATGTATCATGTGTATGTTCCTCGTAGGAAGATGGTCGTGAGCATCAAATTCTCTTGAGATATGATAGATTTATATATCTTACGTTAGTAGAAAATCTGACTTGAGGGGTTATTTAGAATTTTGCATACAAAATAACCTAAAACTTGTTTAAATTCATATTAAAATATTGTAATCTACCACCACGCGTCAAGTAAAACCACTGCTAAGGTATAAGCTGTCGCAGGAAATCTGCAGATAACCTGTACATAAACCGCATAA